TGATTTTTATCTCCAGTTCAATTTGGTGTTTTACTCTTTCTGTAGGGCACAGGAGAAGGTACACTGCACTGGGGCTGTAGAAGAGTAACAGAAAAATGACGGAAAACTTCTTGGTGTCTACAAAAGGGAAAGGTCCAATGTTAAGGCCTGGATGCTCAGGACCACATGTGGAGCCAGCAGGAAGGTAGAAGGTCCACTCTAGAGAATCAGTCCTCCCAAGACTAGAATCTGCAAATGACAGAAACCTCCCCTGTTCACAGAATAAGCCCAACACAAAGGCAAAGCCACTGCCATGAACAACCTGGGCTCTCAGGGGAGGGGGTGGTTTGAGACAAGGTCATGTAGCCCAGGCTGGCCTCTGGCTATGTAGAGAAGACCTCAACTACTGATTCTCCTGTCTCCACTTCCCGAATGCTGGATTACAGGCATATGCTACCTGGCCTAGTCAGTAAATGTATTTTTTAAATAGTTTATTTTTCATTTTATGTGTATCAGTGTGTTGTCTGCATACAGGTAAGTGCACCCATGTCATGCAATGCCTACGGAGGTCAGAAGATGGTGTTAGATCCCCTGGAACTGGAGTTATGGATGGTTGTTAGCCATCATGTGGGTGCTGGGATTCAAACCCAGGACCTCTGCAAGAGTAGCCAGTGCTCTCAATCCAGCCCAGTAGGACTATTTTTAACTGCTGTATTCTCTCATTCCTGGCACTTAGTTTCTTGTGCTCTGACTGCTCCTGGAACTCGGTGACTCATTTAAGTCACCAAGGAGAGACAGACGTCAGTGCTCATTTTCGAGGGTCAGAGCTAAGTTTATGAAATCCAAAGACTGAAAGTCAAAGGACTTTTGCTTTGTCAGAGTGCCAAGTTCTGGTGGCAAAAAGGGCTTTCAGGGGCCTACTAGACTTGACTGAAAAACCAAGATCAGATCACGGCTGAGTCACACAGTTTATTTCATGAACAAAGAACAGTTTTCTCATCCAGAATCAAGAGTTCAATCAAGCAAGAAGAGCAGCGGGAGGGGGACAGAGTGAGATGGTGGCTGCAGAAGTCTGAAACCTGCCTGGAACCCTTCCTGAATATGGCTATTGGCTATACAACAGAACCACACTGCAATAATTAGCCCAGTCTGGGTGGCGAGGTCTAGGCCTTAACACATTTGAAGAGCTACCTCTGCATTCCTTTCTTGCCTCCTGAATTAACCTAACATTTGGCCAAGTTCCAAGAATCAGCACTCACGGAAATCAAAAGGCAGAAATGTGGGAGGGATCCTTCCCAGGCCAAGGTCTGCATGACTCCACTCACTCACTGCAGCACAGGAGCACAGAACCTGGACAAGCTGAGCAGCTGCTGCTCACATTAGACTATGAAGTCTGTTTGCAAGTGTCTTGTGGACAAGCTTAAGAGTTTAAGCACAGACATGGCAGAAAGTCAACTACATCTACAAGTCAGGATAGTCAGGAAAATGCCCAAGTAGATCTGGACACAGGTGACATGTCACTGGAGCTCACCAGCACAGCTCCTGTTGATCAGAGCTCACAGTGCACCAGCTTCCATCCAGTAGACCAGCGAATCAAACCCCACACATTTTCACCGAAAGTTGCAGTCACAACAAAGGCCAGCGTTGTCTGCTAATGCACATAAAGACCCTAATTTTGTAAAGTTCTTTTCACTGAAAAAGTTGACAGTACCTCAATCTAATCACAAGACAGGACAAGTGCTGCTCACACTTGGACTCTTCACAAAGCTGGAGTTACCTAGATCTGTGTTGCTCAGGACAATTGACACTGGTTGCCTAATTGCTGAGCATGAACAATGAACAATGGCACTCGTTCCAAAAAAGATGGAAAAAGCTAGTTATGTATCAATTGAGGTTTTTTAAAATTTTTATTATTTCTATTTAATGTGTATGAGTGTATTGCCTGCATGTACATAAGCGCACCTGTGTCGTGCAATGCCCATGAAGTCAGAAGAGATTGTTGGATCCCCTGGAACTGGAGTTACAGATGGTTGTTAGCCACCATATGGGTGCCCGGAATTGAATCTGGGTCCTCTGCAAGAGCAGCCACTGCTCTTAACCACTGAGCCATCTTTCTAGCCCCAATTGAGGATTTTTCTTCCAGAACGACTGCATGTTAAGATGACAGTACTGGATGTTTGAACAGCTTAGGAAAGTCTATGGCCTTCACTATGTTTTGTGTTCCAATAAATGACTTCCTTGATGGATACCATCTAAACACCTCGGTAATGAATATCCTTAGCATTAACACCACATATTTCAGGTGTTAATGAGCCATGAAAGGCTCATGATATGCAGCCATTTGATATTTTTCTAAAATACAATTATACTGTGCCAGTACTGCACAGTATTTAGTTAACCAATTGGTATCATTATTTAGTTAACCAATTGGTATCTCAGCTCAAACCAATCAGAAAGACTAAAAGCTCAAATTCACTTTGTTCGAAAGAATTTTTTTTTTTTTTTTGGTTAGGTACTCTTTAATAACATAGTGAATTCAAGAGTTCACAGAAAATATTACCAAAGAAATAAAGCACTAGGTAGCAGAACTTTTAAAGTTTCATAAGTCATTCATAATTTCATCATTAAGTGCTGCAGAAAGCAATTTCTTGAAAGCATTTTATATGGGACATATATAGGGGTTCTGTCATTGTAACATATGTATCTTGAGCATTAAGTTTCTATTAGTCTCACAGACCTTGTTACATAGCAATTCCTGGCCTCTGAAGTCCCAAGTTATTTACAAGAGAAACTTTGAGTCAACTTAAAGAAAACTGCCTTGGTGTTGCCACAGATACACTGTGTCAGACTAGGTCATCAGTGGGGAGCACTGACTGCCTCAACCCACAGGAACATTCCAAAGTTGCCATTCCTCCAAGTAAGACATATTTAACCACTCTTTCTTTCCTGTCCTTTGCTAACAAAGAGCATGCCAGCATCATGTAGCCTTCTGGTCCTTCTGAGCACAGCCTGCGCTATCTTTAACAGCAGTATCATCAGGACAACAGGCACGTACACGTCTATAAGGTCCCATTTTAGTTTACTTTTATTGTAAAGACTTGAAGTCAGGGAGACAACAGAAAGGACATGGAAAATGAAGCTGAAAAAAACACCTCAAGATCATTCCTGGGCGCATTCACTAGGCAGTTGGGGCTCCAAGAGATGTTCAACTTGGCCAAGCCAGTGCGAAACTCACTCACCATTCACTTACTGACTCTAGCAGCCCTGGCAGTATCTGTGCCCTCTGGGCCCTAGACATACGTTTCTTCCAACAATTCGTGTCTGGCTTCTTTCTTGAGACTGCCCCGGCCCCACCATATCTAATTCATTTTGAATGGGGGTTCTCTAGCAGACACTACTAGCATGATCAGACTCTTCCAGGTAGACTTAACCCTTCAAGATGCACAAAAGGTACAACTAGTAGTGGTCCTCCTCTCCAATCCTTATACACAAATGACCACCAACGTGAGTCAATTTCCCTAAGTCTCCAGTTTAGCTCTGTCTCTCATTGTCTTGAGTTACTATGGATTTTGTAACAGGTCTCCATGCCTTCCTCACCACTGCTTTAGTTCTGTCTCTCATTATCTTGAGTCACTATGCATTTCTTAACAAGTCTCTATGCTTCCAGTCCCATCCTCTCCAATCAGAAATGTAAATGTTACTGTCCTTTTCCTGGTTAAAGACTTTCCATCACCATGAGATACACATTTCTGACTCTTGCTCACACACCCCCGCCCCCCCTAGTAAACATTGACTTTCTCACTCCTGTCATGTCCTTTCTGCCGTGGGAATTCCTTCACTAAGATTCCCACTTCACATACACTTGTTACATATTTTCTTCATCCACTAAGGTCAGCGATTTTTCTAGATTCTTGGTTCTAGAAGAGCACAGACGACTTAAATGGTGCTTAATGTATGATTGCTCAAACAGAACAGTCAACCAGGTTTTTGTGATAATAAAAATCAGAACCTACGATGTTGTTATACCTTTGCTTCTTAAACACATCAGTTAAAATCTTAGGTATTATGACACATGGTGAACAGAGTAACAAAAACCATATAAATGGACAGCAATGTTTTTGTTCATACTACAAACATCAGTGTGTACCATGCATCTGGCCTTGCATACAAGTATCTTTTTAAAATATTTTATTATTATATGTTTATAAGTATATTGCCTGCATGCAAGTACACTGGTGTTGTGCAGTGACCACGGAGGACAGAGGAGGGTGTTGGATCCACTGGAACTAGAGTTACAGTTGTTAGTCACCATGTGATTGTTGGGAATTGAACCCAGGTCCTCTACAAGAGCAGCCAGGGCTCCTAACCTGAGTCATCTCTCCAGCCCCCACAGATACCTTATATTTGATTCAACAACCCTAGTGACGGAAGACCAAGGTGAGACCCAGAGAAATAATCTTTACCCAATGGCCAGAGATATAACTTGAAGATGAGACTCAAACCTAGTTTCTTACCACTTTACTACAAAATTCAATACCATTTCTATGATGAAAACTGCTTCCAAAGATTACTTCTCTTCTAAAGCCATAAGGGCATGTTGCTAAATACAAATGAAATCTTTTTTTTTTGTCTCTTTGAGACAGGATCTCCCTGTAGCCCCACTGGAACTCACTATGTAGACCAGGCTGGTCTGGAACTCTCAGAGATCCACCTGGCTCTGCCTCCCAAGTGCTAGGATTAAAGGTCTGAGCCACCATGCCTGGCTTGCAAATGACATCTTTAAAAAAAAAGTGACTATGTATTAGATCATCCTTCCTCAAAATTTAATAGTTCTCCAACTGTATTTCAATTAGAGGATTAACATCATGTATTTCAAAGTACCATCTTTATTTATGGTTAGGGTAATGTAGAAAGATTTTTGTCCATTACTATTAGTCATCAGCTAATGGAGAATTTTTACAATTTTGGATTCACTTTTGTTATGAGCATTAAAAAATAAGGAAGCCATAACAACTCATGACAACTTTTCAACATTCAATATTTGTTTTATTATATTTCCAACTTAAAGACATAAAATAGGATATGACAACTTTCCTTGAAAGCATTCTTCTCTTATTTTCTACTCCTAAAGAACAAGATAATTTAACAAGATCATTAGGAAATGTTATTAAAATGCCAATAATGAATTGTTCCATTTTTGTTTATAACTATTAAACATTAGAACAAGCTGTTCCTAATACATTTTCTCCCTCTTGTGACTGATGCTCTCAGGGCTTTATTTAACAACAACAAAATACTTTCTAAGAGATGAAATTAAGAAGTATTGTAGAGTTGCGGCAACCATGAGTAAATAGAGATAATTCAATTTTCAAACAATGAAACCAATATAAGTCATTTGCAAAGAAATGCAATGAAGTGATAACCAGTATCATCAAATTCCAACGTACCTTTTATTTTCCCTAGAACAGAGTAGCCTAATTGTATTATGTGTACCCAGATGTTCAGAAGGGACTAAAATGAAACTTTTCTTTGTAGTTCATGCTGGTCTCAAATGTAGCCCAGGCTGGCTTTGAACCTGATCTTTGATCTTCTGCTTCAGCTTCAACATACCAAAATCAAAAAAAGCAGACATGGGCAATTAGTGATAGGAGAACTGTCTTCTGATGTCCAATCTTGGGATCCTGAAGGGTGCCTCATGATCCAGGGGCAAAGCTGAGAAACACAACCAGCTTAATCGATGCTACAATACAGTATCACATTTTTCATTCTGGAATGTTAGATCATGCTGTATTTTCTCTGCTTCTCTATAAACAAGGAGAAAAAAATCTACCTTATTATCAGCTGGTTGAAAATTAAGGCTATTTTAAACATTTAATAAACTTCTCAGGAGAGTAATAGTGCATTTTCAAATGACACTATCTGCTGCTCAAAGCCTTTTACTTTCCACAGAAAGTCAATAGACTTAAAAAAAAAAAAACAGCTATTTCCCATCTAAGACAGGAATTCTATGATTAAAAAAATTGTATTTCCTAGCTTAAGAAAGCATTCACAGAATACAGAGAACTTGGGTACAGTATTACCAAAAACATTCTATCAACTGTTTCAGAATAGGAATTAGTACATAGGAATATACCAAGTAGCAATTTCCTCCAAAGAAAACCAAGCAGCAGAGATTCAGTTTCAGAAAGAAAAGATCTGCAGAAAAGGAAAGAAAAAGTACAACAGGTGTTGTGACTACTACTTATTACACATCTGAGGAAACAACAGAAGGTGTGTAGTTTAGGAACTGGAGAAAGGGCCCCAAACACAGTACTAACATGCTTTTTCCAAAGAAGTTAAAGGGACATTTCGCATTTAATCACTCACTGCCAATGAATATGGAGTTGACCTCAGGATATACCCAAACTGTAAGAAAATGGCCCAAATGAACTAAAAGACTTTGGCAACTAACAACCTGCACCATTTACCTCTAAGTAGTTTTACACAGCTCCTGACAATTTTCTTAATAAGGAAACCTCCATATCATAAGCATAAGATTATTTGGATATTACCAATGCATAGTGTGGCTATCAATTAGATGGTAAATTCAAGTATTCTTGAATTTTAAAAAAGTTTCATGCTTTGCGTACTCATAGCTTATTGTTGGGGAAATCCCCCTTATTTCACGCTCTAAGTCAGTCCATAAAAGCAGGTAATATTTACATTGAAGTTACAATCTTTTTCATTGAAAAGAATATATCTGTTTTTCTATATTAAAATGATTGCATTCGGGGTTTTTTTTGTTGCTGTTTTTGAAGACAGGTTGGCCTGGAACTCAATATGCAGCCCAGGCTAGTCTTTAACTTGCGGCACTCTTCCTGACTGTCTCCTGAGTGCTGGGATTATAAGGTGTGAGTTACTACATATTCAGTTACAAATAACTGCTCCGAAACTTCACTGTACCCAAACTTAGAGACACAGCTGTAAATAAGCTCGGAAAAGGACTCTGCCTTTTGATAACTCATTCAGGGAAAATCTTTTGGACATGCACACTGCAAATATGCTGAGAACGGTCTTGGCTTTGGGGCTACATTCTAGTAAGATGTCTAAGTGGGTGAAAACCAGAATAATCATGTAACATTTAAGAGATACCTACAACTTACAATAGTGAGCCCAAACCTGCATACTGTGTAACAGTTGACATTGTTTTCCAGTGTTGCTTCTGCTATCACATATACAAAAATCAGTTTCAGAACCAGTGTTTGTATTTTAATCACATTGGTCTTAAAACAATCTATAACCTCAAAACCATTACCTCTATTTCTCTGGGAAAGAGCTAAAAGAGAATAATTCTGCTTTCTCTTAAACATTCTGGCAGAAGGGGAAAAAAAAGCCTGATCAAAACAATAAAAATTGGCAATCAATAAATTCATTATGAACACAGCAGCACTAGAGTCAAGTTCAAGAACATACTTCTTTCTACATACATGTGTAACCTTATTTGAAGATGAGTATTTACAAAGATTTTAGAAGGCCATAATCAACTGGACAGCCTCAGCTTTCAACTTCAATGCAGCATTCACTTGTCAGTAGTTTAGCTGAATATTTAAACAACGTAAGTTTATCTCTGATACTGTTCAGTGCCTGTATACAAATTTATAAATATTATAAGCATTTTTAAAAAACATCACTTATAATCTATTCCCAGAAGTATCTCCAAACAAAAAATGGAGCATTTGATCTCTTTTCTTCAATTCCTATTCTTTTTAGGAAATCATTGGAGATTAAATTTAAAATAAAAATGTCAACTTCATAAATTCTGACACAAGTGGTTGCTTTAAACAGCTGTCAGTAAACACTGTTTAGATGAGCATAATCAAGTAGACTTGACGCTGAGGAACACTGACCTTTTTAAAAACCAAAGGAGCTTCTGTGGAGCAGCTGCAGCACAGGGCCAGATGACAGAAAGAGGCTAGATGATGAGACTGCCAGTCAAGGACAAAGTAAGGAAGGAAGTGAACTTAGGCTAGGGCTGTTCTAAAGTTAACAAGTGAGCTATAGTACAAACCAAATTCCAGGGGTGTTAATTAGCACAGCTATTCTTTGAAGAATGGAAGAGAGCTAAGTAATTCTTTTATTTATATTTTTATTTTTTTGGTCTTTTTGAGACAGAGGGTCTCCCTGTAGCCCCAGCAGGCCTAGAACTCACTATGTAGACCAGGCTGGCACCAAATTCACAGAGTTCCACCTGCCTTTGCCTCACAAGTGCTGGGATTAAAAGTGTGCACCATCACAGTACTTTTTATCACATTACAGTAGTAGAGAGCAAGTAAATCTAAGAGATCTTCCTTGGGGAAAATATGAGAGGAGGGGGCTAGAAGCTTACAAAATTGAAAACTGAAGAAAAAAATGAATTCAAATTAAGATTTCATACTAACAGAAAAAAAATTTAAGAATATTCTTCCTACCCTTCAAGAAAGAGCAATTTTCCACAACTGGTTGAAAAAAGCACCTACGGAACTGTGCTATCAGCTGTCACACGGAGGTCATAGATTCTTCTGACATTGCAGCATAACAACAGGCATTTCACAGCATAACTGTAGGGAAAATGTTATCTAATCTAAAATCACGCAGACAGCAATAAAGTTCTTTCAACTATTCAAAACACAAATTTTTCTGGGTAGCAGCAGTTGTTCCTGTACTTGCCGTTTTAAAAAATACGAAACAGAAGCAAGAGTTGGGAAACAAAATGAGAGGATGAGAGCAGCAGCATTAAATAAAAAGCAAATACTTAAATAATCATGGAAGGTTAAAAGAGCAAACAGCTCTTGTGTGGCTGCTGACTATATCAAGTCAAGGGCACTGACAGCACTCTCCCTGTGTTGAAATGGCTAAGCTACTTAGTGGTATTTTGGTACATTTTCAAAAAGACATTCACTATTGATGCCTTGATAGCTCTCTTCCAGTATCTGTAACCATCAGATGTATTTGGGGGGAATATTTATTCACATAATTTTGCTTAATACAATTCTTTCTACAAAGACTGAATTTTAAAATAACATTTTCAATTACAGTAACAACACATTAATAAATTATAAATTAACAAAATCTTTATATTTGCTGTAAAAAATCATTTATCAAATGCTAACATCCAGATTATCTGGAAAACTAAAGATGCAAATTGCTCTATCTGGCATCCCAATTAAACTGATTTTTTTCAAAAGTATATAAAATGTCCCTCAAATCATTCAAAGTTCCATTCCGGAAATATTTATTTCACCCTTTTTATAAGGTATTAAGTTTACAACTTGCTAAACATTTTACCCAAATGTGGGAAAACTGCCTGGAGATGCAAAGCACAATAAAGTAATTACATGAAACAAAAGATACCCGTTAAAACAAAGTTATTACAGTTGGCAGGACTTAAAATTGGTAATTTTCTTTTTTAAAGTTGCATAGCTGCAAGATGATTCACTGCTAATAAACCGTTAAGCAGCTTTATTTCCGAAGAAACAATATATTTCAGAAACTGAAATTCAGTAGACAATTCCACACTTAATTGATTAAAATGTAATTATGTAACTTGATTTACTCTTTGGATGGCATTTTGATAATAAACCTTTAATTAAAACTACTAACACATTTAGCTCTCCTACGCAGAAATCTATTTTCCATACATGGGGAAACAAAATGGAAGAACTTGAGATTACGGTCTCCATTCAGACAATGTTTTACTGCTTTGATTACATTTCTCGTTTCACATTGAAGAGTTTGTGAGAACTAAATTGTGTGGAATAGGTGAATGCAGAAACATTATGTTGGGGAAATAAAGAGACCCCAAACTAAACAAACAAACAAAACACAGCTACTTATGCAGCTCTACAGAACTTAATAAAAATTACATCAACTTTTAAAGTAGTTAACTTTGGTGTCTGAATACAAAATGTTTATCAGTATCTATGCAGATGACTAGTACAGGATGTGCAGCATTTTCAGAATCCCTGTGTGTCCCTTATATGCAAGTTTGGTACACTGAGTTCTGTGGCTCCTGGCCCTCCTCAGCAGGATGGCTCCCTGTATGACTGTCCATCCCTGTACCACCGAGTGTCACAGAACTCAGATTTCTGGCTGAGTTAGCCTGCAGTTCTGATATTTTCCAGAGACAGATCTTCAAATCCTCTAGATTTCTCAAGCATCTTGAAAAGACAAGAAAATCTGTATAAAAATAAAAGATTTTATTTTAAGCCATGATCCACAATAGTAATACAAATCAACACACAACACCCATTTACATTTCTCCATCAACTCTGCTTTCATTACTGTACACTATCATATCCTTTTGGTTTTGCTATTTCAGAAAGTTATAAAATTAGTATTAGATAGAACAAATGAAGAACAGAATGACCAGTTAAAATAACAGTCTCAAAAAACAGCCCAAATGTAATTCATTCCTTTTTGGCAACAAATACTCTATGAAAGAAAGAATATACACATACACATGCCCCCCATTAAAAAAAAACCTGATAACTGGGGCTGGCGAGATGGCTCAGCAGTTAGGAACACTGGTTGTTCTTGCAGAGGACCCAGGTTCGATTCCCAGCACCCACATGGCAGCTATAAACTGTCCTTAACTCCAGTCCCAGGGGATCTGACGGCCTCTTCGTGCATTGCACAACACTGGTGCACTTACCTACATGCAAGCAATACACACATACGCATAAAATAAAAAATAAATAAATTTTTTTAAAGTTAAAAAAAATAAAAACCTGATAATCCCCCCAAATTCAAACAGTAAACAACGACTTCCTAACTCACCAAGGCCTTTCCATTCTCATGTTTCTATCTGGGGTTGGTAATTCAGTTCTTACACTAAGAGATATATAAATGCTGGGTCTTGCCATTATTATTCTTATTTTAATGTTTTAAAAACACTAAATCCTCTTCAAATCCATATGCTTTTAATGTAGGTCAGATAAAGATCAGACACAAAAATGTACATGAAGATATTTTCCATCTATTAATTCTATCTTATGTGTACGAGTGTTTTGCCTGCATGTATGTAAGTGTACCTCTGTTGTATATGCCCACAGTGGGCAGAAGAGGATGTCATATCTCCTGGAACTGGCATTGTGGACCACTGTTAGCTGCCATGTGGGTGCTGGAAACTGAACCTGGAGCCCTGCAAGAGCAGCCAGTGCTCTTATCGCTGAGTCATCCATCTCTCCAGTCCCAACATCCATTAATTCTTTAAAATGACTCCTTCATATTTCTGTAGGCAGCTGAGCTTACAAAGTTCAACCTATTCCTTTTCAAAACTCGGGTTCTATGATCCCTAAAAGATAATACTGAGATGTTAAGGAAAAAAAAAAAAAACATTGCATGGGCCTAGTAGACTCATGATGGTGACTATGAGAGGAGATGCATCACAGAGGTGGCACAAGCTTGACAGCGAAGAAAAAAGTGTAGTGAGACAGGCCATGAAAGAAATGTATGTATGTCTTATGGTCTAAGTGTTTACATCTCCACAAAACCCTAGGTTGAGGGGCTATGGAGATGGCTCACTGATTAAGAGCATTAGCATTAGAAGACCGGGGTTCAGTTCCTAGCACCCACATGGCAGCTAACAACCATCTGTAACTCGAGTTCCATGGGATCTGAGGCAGCTCTTCTAGCCTCTGAAGGCACTGCATGATACAGGTGCACTTACACATATGCAGACAAAACATTCATACATATAAAGTAAAAATAAATATTTTAAAAACCAAACAAAACAAACCCTAAGTTGAAACCTAACTTTCACCACAGCAGTATTAACAGGTACATTCCTACAGAGGTGATTAGCCACTCTTCTACCATCCAAGGATGCCTGATGGTGTCCCAAGTGAGGGGACTCAAAAGGCACTCTATCTTCTGGCATCTTGATCAAGGACATCCCAGTCTCCAGGATGGTGAGCAAATAATTTTGCTTATAAATCAACCATTTGAAAGGTACTTTGTTGTACCATCTTGAATGTACTAAGACAGACTAAAAGGGCCATATTTATCTGCAGGTTAAAAATTTAGGGATATACTTTGTCTCTACAATCTTTTGAGGCAAGGTCTCCCACTGTAGCTCAGGCTAGCCTAGCCTCAGCCTCCTGACTGCTAGGAAAATAGATGTATGCCACCATGCCAGGTAAAGCCTTCACTGTATTGGTTTTAGTATTTTTCTTAAGATACTTCTATAATCTATCCATAACTTTATTGGCTCAGACACAGGGCAACACTGACAGCATTTCAAAGCATCTTCTCCATCCAAAAAAGCTTTTTAGGCTGAGGACGTAACATAACTTAGTGGTAGAGCACTTGGCTAGCACGTATGAGCTAAGTTTAAGTTCCAGTTAGTACATTAAAAATGACAACAAAATTCTTTTTCTAGGAATGAGGATATACGTATTTCACTGGTAGATTGCTAGCATGTGCCAGGCCATGGGTTCGATTTCCAGCACCTTAGAACAAACAAACAAACAAAACCCTCACCTTCCTAGCAGTGAAATAAAAACACAGATGTACATGTGCCCCAAATACAACTCTATACACTCTCCTGCTCTTCCCCAACAATCTTATCTCAGTACTTTAAGGTATAATCTTAGTAACTTCATAGTAGAAGTTCAAAAGTGATAGTCTTTCATGCCGATAGTCTACCAAGGCTCTATTGATACTATTTTTTAAAAGGGCCTACTCTACTAAAGCTGTCATTTCAGTTGGGATAAGGCTACAAAGTAACTATAAATCTTCCATGTCAGTTTTAGAATCTGCTATCCTTTAATTATCCTCATCAATGGAGCAACAAAATTTGAGTGTATTACCTAATATACTTTATTAATTACATTTTAAATTTACTGTGTACATGGATGTGTATATGGAGGTCAGAGGACAGCCTGTGGGAATCAGTTCTCTCTTTTCACAGTGTGGGTCCCAGGGGTCAAATTCAGGTCATCGGGCTCAATGGCAGGTGCCTTTAATCAGTGAGCCACCTTGCTGGTCTGAAGAGCAAGAATTATCAAAATAAAAGGGAAGTGGGAGGACAGTAGAGGACAAGATCCCAGAGTGTCATGACCTGCTCTTAGTCCCTGCCTCCAGTCACAGTCACTCAGCAAGGACTGTTGGAGGCTGTAGCGTTACCTCTGACCATGAAGGCTCTCATTCCTCTCAAACATTCCAAGATGAGCCAAGTGCTTTCCATATTTAAAGAGAACAATTAAGTTAACCTTTATTTTCCCAAACCTAAATGATATCTTACTTTATCTTATGGAATATGAAAACAAGTAATGCCCATGAGATTAGTTTTAATTCACAAAGCACTTTCAAATACCACGCTATGAATAAGCTGACTTAGCAGAACAAAAATATTCTATTTCATATTGAAATTTGATTTTTTTTTTGCCTACTATAAACACTTTACAACACGTTAAGGGTACAAAGGAGAACAAATGATAACAATGTAAGTTTTTTGAAGTAAATGCTAGCTACCTAATTATAGCAGAATTGCTAAAATAAAATAATCACCAGATTCAGAATGCCTGGACTCAAATCTCAACACTACCAACAGACTATGTGGCCATACCAAGTCAGCATTCCTAACCTCTCTATACCTAACTTCCTTATCCATGTAATAGGAATAACAGAACTGGCACAAAGTGTCTCTAAAATCAAGTGAGTAACTGATAGACATAAAATGATGCTCATAACACCTGGCACATAACACTGTGGAATGATCAGGGCTGTATTACCTGAGAAAATACAAGGAGACCATGCCCAAGAGCATAGCATTACACTGTACTGGTAACCTTGGACTCCCAAGTATAACTTGCTTCATTTCTTCTTTTAATGTCTGAGAATGTATGTATGCATATTCTCGTTTGTGCATGTGTGTGGGAGCCAGAAGTTGAGAACTGATATCCTCCTCAATCATTTTTCATCTTGTTTTGAGACAGGATACCTCTTGGCTGGCCTGGAACTCACTACATAGACCAGATTGGCATCAAACTTAGAGAGACCTGCCTGCCTCTGCCTCCCAAATGCTGGGATTTTTAAAGGCATGTACCATGTCTGGTTTTTATATGGTAGTCTTAGAAAGTATCTGAAACACATACAGAACAGACACAAGAACACGCACATGCCTCAGTGGATGAATTAAAACAGCAGACTCAGGAGATGGTTCTGCAGGTAAAGGCGCTTGCCACCAAAGAAGACATGAATTCAAACCCTGGAACCAACATAGTGTAAGGACAGAACCAACTCCCACAGGTTGTCCTGTGACTTCCATATGCATACACATGAATACACACAGACACATGTGTAAGTAAAAATCTGAAAGCAAAATTGAAGCTGAAAATATGTAACTCAAGATAATGTTTTAAAAAGCAGTTAAACAAAAAGGAGACAATTACCCATAAAACAGGAATTGATGCTTAATCTGATGGATGTTCAGGGCAAGATCTATTTACTTCAAACCATTCATCTATGCAGCTGAAAAAGAAAAAAAAATCAGAAAAATGTAAATCTTACGGATAATTATTTCACAGTAGCCATATATAAAACATCTACAACTTGACTTTAATATCGGAAAGAAAAAAATAAAATCAGTATTTTAAACAATCGTATTTGACAAAAAACAAATAAAAGGTATATTTGTATCATTCAACACCATTAAAGGGAAAAAAATCTTTGCAAAATTATTGTACAAAGTACTCCCAAGTTTAAAGAGAATAACTATTCCCTTAAAGAACTGCCATTTCATCAATACTCAAAATTAAAGAACAAAGTTGAAAAATAGTTCCCCTTTCAAAATAGTTACATATAAGCCTGTGTAGGCCACCTATCAATATAATTAAAGTTTTAGATTTCAATCTTTGACAATATTGCATAACATTTAAAAATATGATTAAATGTAATTGAACCTTTAATTCTATCCTGCTCCACAACTCATATACATACAAATAGATACCCTAATCTATTTATATTTATAGAGTATTTGTAATCTTATTAAAGATTAAGTACTAGGGTGCCTATAACCATCCTTTTTTGAGTATGTGTATGTGTGCATATGTGTCAGTGTGCATACACATGGAGGCAAGAGACAACCTCTGATGTCAATCCTTAGGTATTGCCCATCTTTTGTTGAGACAGCATTTCTCACTGGCTGGAATTCACTAAGTAGATTATTAAGTTGAGGCTAGCTGTCAGCCAGCTCCAGGCATCCACCTATCTCCCTACCTCAGTCATGAGATTATAAACTCTTAGCACCACACTGACTTTTATATGTGAGTTTCAAGAATTGAACCCACGTTCTCATGCTTGCAAGGCAAGCAAGCAGTTTACTGAGCTATCTCCCCACCTCAAAGTTATCCTTAAGGTAGATCTGCACTGTCCAAAGCAACAGTCAGGAGCCATAGGTAGTTACTTATTAAAATGAAAAACAGCAAAACATCTAGCTCCTCAGTCACATGTCCCTCACTGTAGACAGTTCTAATTCACAGGGCCGAGATAGATGAGAAAGATCAATGTCATAAAAGGGTTTACTCGGCCAGCAGCTAGTAAGCTACTAAAGCAGGACTCGAACGGTTCAGTAGTCTCATTGGTGGTACATGTTCATTTCCACAGGCCATAAAGCTAGGAGGTTAGAAGAGCAAATTAATATTTATCATTCAAAATTATTGGCTTTATAGGTGAACATAATAGAAAAAAAGGTAAAGTACCTCAATATACATGTTCTTTCAAGTATCTAAAACAATTTCTGTTGCCCCTGGAATTTTTATTCTCTACATATAATACACACCAATTTTGTTTATGACACAGTTTTCAGTGCATTTTGTACCACTGAACTCTAAAATTCCCCTGACCTACAAAAATGCCTCTTAAATGAGATACTGAGAATAAATAGTCCAGATGTGTTAACAATTCACATGAATCTGAGTAGTACCTATGAAATCTAAAATGGGTTCATCTTATTTTACAATCATGTGAATAAATAAAACTCTAGGCCCCCTTTCATATAAACTGGTATCAATCCACACACCTCATTTAAAAAAAAAATTTTTTATGTGTCTGAGTGTTTTAAATGTATCATGTGCACGTGCTGTCCACAGAGGTCAGAAGAGGGCATCAGAGCCACTGGAACTGCAGTTAGAGATGGTTGTCAGCCACCTTACGGGTGCTGGGAACCAAACCCAGGTCTGCCAAGAGTAGCCAGTGTTCTTAACTGCTGAGTCATTTCTCCAATCCCCAATCCATGTATTTTCTATTCTAAACTATCTCCATTTGTTAATCAGTATATGATAGTCCTCTGTCCCGGCACCAACAGGAAAGCCATTTCCTAAATTTGGTATTTTCATTCTTAAACATTTTCTTACTGGATAATTTTAAATACATGTATTCTAAAATAATAACAGCATTATTTTCATGTTTAAAAACTTAAATAAGCCAGGTGTGGTGGCGCACGCCTTTAGTCTCAGCACTCAGGAGGCAGAGGCAGATGGAGCTCTGTGAATTCAAGGCCAGCCTGGTCTACATAGTGAGTTCTAGGACAGCGGGCTACAGG